TCTTTCAAGAGAGACATTCAGTCTGACCAGAAGGGACTTCCCCTTTCTAATTTGTTTCTCCAAAGTAGACCTCCTGAGAGAAGTCTGAGGGTCCTCACCCCTGGGTTCCACAGGCATCTGTGGTGGCACTCCACATAAAGTGCCAACTGTGTGGAGCATACCGAGAGGAACAACGAGGTTAATGCTCTCCTTTTGAAACTGTGACTCCCACCCTCCCCCAGTTCCTCTAAGTGTTTCCTTTTAAAGAAAAGCCATGGTTCACTGCTACTGAAAATTAAAGACAACAGCATAAAGATCAAGGTCCAGGCTGGTACCAGCAATGACAGAACATTAAAATCGCTATTTGAATTTCTCTTTCCTTGAACATTGACAAAGACTATTGAAGGAAAGACAACCATAACACAGGTTCATTTCATAAACATTATCTCTCTCTCTCTCTCTCTCTCTCTCTCTCTCTCTCTCTCTCTCTCTCTCTGTGTGTGTGTGTGTGTGTGTGTGTGTGTGTGTGTGTGTGTGTGTGTGTGTATTCACTGACACTAGTGTCTGGACAGGTCAGAAGTGGATATGGAGATATCTTTCCCAGTCACTTCTCTATCTTATTCTTTGAGATAGGGCCTCACACTGAACCTCACTGTTTAATCTAGACTGCCTGGCCAACAAGCTTTCTGGATCCCTGTGGCTCCAGTGCCAGTGATAGGATTGCAGTACACTTACATGGGTGCTGGTGATCTAAATTTAGATCTTCAAACTTGCCTTTAAGCACCCTTCCCACTCACTCCCAACCACATTTGAGAATCTTTCTACTTGCTTCTCTTCATTCATAAGACTCCTTTGGCTGAAATGAACAAACTGAAGGTGGCCTTCAGTTTAGATGAAATGGGTGGCAGTACTAATTATACGGCTGCCTCCATCCCACATCACATCATGGAGTACCAAGAAAACATTAGAAGGTTTATTAGGTAAGGGTTACTTTATAAGGTCTAGAAGAGAAGGAATGTCCAACTAGCTCTTCCACCAACAGACTATACTTCTAGCTTCTCCAACTGCACTAAGCTGTCTCTCTTCTACCTCTCTTTAGTTCCAGATTTGCTTTGACAATCAGGATCATACCGTGCAAATCATGTTTACTTATCTTTTCTGATACCAGACTAGAGAGCCAGGTCTCCAATCTCAAACCTATGCATGCTGTTTTTAGGTTGTACGCTTGATGAATATTTAGCTTCTAGAATCGATGGCACATTACTTCAGTAAGATCGACTCAATTTCCTATTCTCCATAAATATGCCAAGTATCATCAGGGTTTTTAAGGTATGCTCTTCAGCTATCCAACAACGAAGAATAGGTTAGGCAACACAAACCTATGGTTATCCCCAACAAAGAGCTTGACCAAGAACATGGTGGACACATTACTATTTAAGAGGGTCAGCCTTCTCATAAGACAGGCAAAGAGAAAAGACAGGAAAAAAAAAACTGAAAGTAAGCACATTTCTCTCCCATTTTAGAATCTTGGGCACTTAGAAGAATGAAATGAAAATTTGTGAAAAAACAGCCATATCAACTTGCTGTGGTGACTCAAAAGTTGTCGTTTCTCAACTCAACTTTGCTGAAACACTTGATTCATGTTGTTCTTATTTAACCTAATTTGCATTGATTTAATCAGTGCTGGTATGCTTTAAATACATAATAAATTGGAATTCTGCAACTCAGAAGACTTAGAATAGCTAAATTTCAATAAAGCTCATTTCAATCTGTTAATGTATACAGCTCTGCCAAGGGATTTAAGAGGATAGAAAAGATGCAACTTGCCACATTAGAGGTGAGAAGGGCTTAAAGATACCATGCAGACGAAATAATTTGCAGCATAATAGTATGAAAAACTACATATATATTTTTTTCCTAATTACAGCCTAGAAGCATCTTCTACACTTTGAGTGGCACACTTAGAAGAAAACTCACATATAAATGCAGAGAATTTAATTTTCTTCTTCTTCTTTTTTGCCAACACTCAACTCTTCTCTGCCTCTCTGTACCAGCTCTACAAATCAAGTGACATCCAAAGTAGGACCTCTTCTTGCCCATTTGGCAGCCTCTCTCATCCTTTTGCCAAGTTGCATGCATTACAAGGATTTTCTTCCTAGCAGCCATGGGGATTGGGTGCCTTCTGTTCACAGTGCTTGCTGAATGGCTGGCCACTGTTTACCCCTGCCTGTGCCTGCCCAGCCCTGCTCCTCCAACCCTTTAGAGTTTATGGCTCAATCAGTCGGCATGCTGTCAGGAATAATTGTTTTGGCAAGGGGTAAAACCACTTGATGATGAAATTGTTTCTCTGTCTGTTAAAGTGTTCTGCAGCAACTCAGAAGTGCCAAAGGCCCAGTCCAGAGCTAGGTTGGAGGCAGAGTGAGGACAGGTGACCATCCAGTCTGGCAAAGAAAGAACACAGCTCTGAGGAGAAACAGCAAAGCTCTGCTCTGTCTGTGTCAGTAAGAAGGTGTACGACCTTGAATAATCTCCAGATGTCTCTGGCCTCAGTTTCGTCATGTGCAAAATGGAGAGGGTTGATTTTCTAATGTCTCCTCTAGCTCCTAAGACAGCATGTGATGTCTAGGACATTTCAGATTTGTGTTCTTTTCAATTAAATGATGTATCTTGGAGATGAATGACCAGGGCAGAGCTCAGATGAATACAGAATGGAATGATTCATACCCCTGTTCATATGCCTTTTCCTGAAAAGTAGCACCTGCCTTTGGTGACCTTAATTCTACCAGTTGGTCTTTTCAGCTTTGCTGTTAAGGGCCAGTGTAGTGGCTTGACCAATCTACTTAAACTGGGAGTTCTCCCAGTCCACCATCATTCCTAGCAAAGTAATAGTGACAGGTAATGCTCACTTGTGTGGAGTTCACTAGAGGTAGAAATGATGGGAATATAAGGACAATAATACACCTTAACCTGTGATTCCTCCTGACACAGACACTTAATCATCTTTGAGGATGTGGTTCTCCTTCCTTCCTCCCTTCCTCCCTTCCTCCCTTCCTTCCTTCCTTCCTTCCTTCCTTCCTTCCTTTCTTAAAACAGATAACCACAGGTCAGTGGCAATATGATGGATTTCTTATAGAATAGTTGTGACTGGAAGGGGTACTTATTTGTTGTATATATGCCTGTCTATAAAGGATTGAGGGTAGAAAATCCAGCAGGGGTTTTTCCTGGTATTCAGAAGCAAAGTAGCATTATTCTGTACAGTCACAAAGCTGAATTAGAGATGAGGGGATGAGGAAAAAGGCTCCCTTATCTTATAAACTACCTCCTCTCTCCATATTTTCTACTACATTCTCCAGGGGTTCAATGTAATTACCATGAACAGCACATACCAGTGTTAGCCTCTCCCACATCATACAACAGCACCTTTATCCCTGCAGGTAGTGTGCTCCATGAACAGGGTGTAGACTGGGCCAGCCCCCCCCACACACACACACTTGGGATCCCCAAGCAGTACACAGGTTGAATTTGCCATACTGCAACCCTTTTCATACTGTCAGGACTCAGATGACTTCTCTAACAGAGTGGGCTAGGAAAGCATTCCCTCCACCAAGTGTTGACAGATGGGGAGAAAGGGAGAGAGCGAGAGAGGGAGAGGGAGAGGAGAGGAGAGGGAGGGAGGGAGGGAGAGAGAGAGAGAGAGAGAGAGAGAGAGAGAGAGAGAGAATCAGAGCCAAACCCCAAATCACTGCTTTCTTGTGCCTCCTCTCAAGTTGCTTTTTGGAAAGCAAAGAAACAAATGTTGATTCCTCTACAGAGTCCTACGTATCTGTTACACGTAGGCCGATTTCAAAAAAAGGGAGGGGGTTCTATATCCCCAAAGAAAGGCTGGCCGGGGGAACCGAGTATGTCAGTCCCTCATTTGGATAGATCTTGTCAGTGGTGATGTCTCTAACCCCATCCCATCTTCTTTTTTTCCGCCCTGAAATATAGACCCAAAAAAAAAAAAAATTCTGAGAGTGTTTTTCATTTCATCAAAGAACATATATTACTTTAGCGGTTTGGTTAAAAAAAAAATGTTGGTTTTCTGCCCACCCCTTTTCAATCTGCCGGTGTCGGAGGTGCTCGGAGAAGACGCACAATCGCGAGCAGCTTACGACACTCAGTGAGCAGTCGGTGCTGGTGCAGGCTCGCGCACACTCCTCGGCGGAGGGAAGGAGTCAAGCGCTGCTCTGCGCTCCGCAAACCATGAGCCGGCCAGGTTTCCGCAGCTGCCTAGGACACGAATGGCAGGCGTTCTTCAGCCGGGACTCCAAGGTGGCTGCGATCAGCGGTGGTCATTGCCGATGACATTCTCCAGACTGTCAAATCCTGGGGAGTCTCCAGCCCCGAGTTTGGAGTTGATTTTTTCTCTCACCCCCACCACCACGTCACAGTCTGAACTGCAGAGGAAAAAAAGGGGGAACCGAGGCAGGAAGGCGAGAAGCCCGGGCTCCCGGCACGTAGTTGGGAAACTTGCGGGTCCTAGAAGTCGCCTCCCCGCCTCGCCGACCGCCCCTGCAGCCCCGGAGCGCAGCAGCAAAGTGAGACATTGTGCGTCTGCCAGATCCTCGGGCCGCGGAGCAGGGCTGCCTCGGGAAACACAGAGGGGTCTTCTCTCGCCCTGCATATAATTAGCCTACACACAAAGGCAGCAGCTGAATGGAGGTTGTCACTCGCTGGAAAAGGGTGGGTAAGACACTTTTTTAATTAAATTCTTTCCAGAAGAAAAAAAAAATTTCCTCCCTTTTCTTTGCTGCCGCATCTAACATGGACTGCATAACCCCGGCTTTGATCTTTCCGTGACTGTGAACTTTGTATGCTGCCCGGCTTTCTGCATGCTTAGAGGTGAACGTGTGGTTCTGGGGAGGGGGGTTCCTTCTGCATTTCTCTATATTGATTTGATTTTTGTTTTGTCCCTTCCTCCCCCTCCCCCTCCCTCTCCTCTCCCTCGGAATAAAATATGATATAGATTTCTGACCCAGCGCTTCCAATGGACATTCTCCAGTCTCTCTGGAAAGATTCTCGCTAATGGATTTCCTGCTACTCGGCCTCTGTCTACACTGGCTGCTGAGGAGGCCCTCAGGGGTGGTCTTGTGTCTGCTGGGGGCCTGCTTTCAGATGCTGCCCGCCGCCCCCAGCGGATGCCCGGGGCAGTGTCGGTGCGAGGGGCGGCTGTTGTACTGCGAGGCGCTCAACCTGACCGAGGCGCCCCACAACCTGTCCGGCCTGCTGGGCTTGTCTCTGCGCTACAACAGCCTCTCGGAGCTGCGCTCCGGCCAGTTCACGGGGTTAATGCAGCTCACGTGGCTGTATTTGGATCACAATCACATCTGCTCGGTGCAGGGGGACGCCTTTCAGAAACTGCGCCGAGTTAAGGAACTCACACTTAGTTCCAACCAGATCACCCAACTGGCCAACACCACCTTCCGGCCCATGCCCAACCTGCGCAGCGTGGACCTGTCCTACAATAAGCTGCAGGCGCTGGCTCCAGATCTCTTCCATGGGCTGCGGAAGCTCACCACGCTGCACATGCGGGCCAATGCCATCCAGTTTGTGCCGGTGCGCATCTTCCAGGACTGCCGCAGCCTCAAGTTTCTCGACATTGGATACAATCAGCTCAAGAGTCTGGCGCGCAACTCTTTCGCTGGCTTGTTCAAGCTCACGGAGCTGCACCTAGAGCATAACGACTTGATCAAGGTGAACTTCGCCCATTTCCCGCGCCTCATCTCTCTCCATTCGCTCTGCCTGCGGCGGAATAAGGTGGCCATTGTGGTCAGCTCTCTGGACTGGGTTTGGAATTTGGAGAAAATGGACTTGTCTGGGAACGAGATCGAATACATGGAGCCCCACGTGTTCGAGACCGTGCCGTACCTGCAGTCCCTGCAGCTGGACTCCAACCGCCTCACCTATATAGAGCCCCGTATCCTCAACTCCTGGAAGTCCCTTACGAGCATTACCCTGGCCGGGAACCTGTGGGACTGCGGGCGCAATGTGTGTGCCCTGGCCTCCTGGCTGAGCAACTTCCAGGGGCGCTATGATGCTAACTTGCAGTGCGCCAGCCCGGAGTACGCACAGGGCGAGGACGTCTTGGATGCTGTGTATGCTTTCCACCTGTGCGAGGATGGGGCCGAGCCCACCAGCGGCCACCTCCTGTCGGCTGTCACTAACCGCAGTGACCTAGCGCCCCCTGAGAGCTCAGCCACCACGCTGGTGGACGGCGGGGAGGGGCTGCACGATGGCACGCTTGAGCCCATCACTGTGGCTATCCCCGGCGGCGAGCACGCTGAGAACGCTGTGCAGATCCACAAGGTGGTCACGGGCACGATGGCTCTCATCTTCTCCTTCCTCATCGTGGTCCTCGTACTCTACGTATCCTGGAAGTGTTTCCCAGCCAGCCTCAGGCAGCTCAGACAGTGCTTTGTCACGCAACGCAGGAAGCAGAAGCAGAAACAGACCATGCATCAGATGGCTGCTATGTCTGCCCAGGAATACTACGTTGATTACAAACCCAACCACATCGAGGGGGCCCTGGTGATCATCAACGAGTATGGCACATGTACCTGTCACCAGCAGCCCGTGAGGGAATGCGAGGTGTGATTGTCCCAGTGGCTCTCAACCCATGCGCTACCAAATACGCCTGGGCAGCCGGGCGGGCCGGCGGGCAACAGGACGGGTCTCCTCTGCGCTCTGATGTGTTGACTGAAACTGTACGGGGATCTCTCCCAGAGACTTGACATTTTAGCTTTATGTGTCTTAAAAACAAAAAATTAAACACAACAAAAAACCCCACCCCATAATCTTCAGGACAGTCTGTCTTAAATTTCATATGAGAACTCCTTCCTCCCTTTGAAGATCTGTCCATATTCAGGAATCTGAGAGTGTTAAAAAGGTACCAATCATTGATTTTTTTTTGTAAACTAAAACGTTTAAAATAAAATAGCATTTACAGTTTCTACAGACTGGTGGAACCTAAATGAACTGCTACCTGTCTTACTGGAAAAACAGTGGTTAAAGTTTCCTTGGAATATAGGTGGGAGTGGAAGCGAGGGGTCTTGGCAGGTGGGAAAAAAAATCCAGAAATCATGGAGCAAAAAATTTAGCTTCTATTTGAAACGATAAGAAGGGCAAAGAAAGCTTATCACTGTGGTGGTCCCGGTAATTCATCTCTGTAGGAAGGTCCAAAAAGTCGGTAAGACCCTCTGAGGAGCGAGCTAAGACATCTAGCTACTTTAAAGTGATGGGTGAGGGAAGATCGGGTATCATTTCTAGGCCTCTACAGCAGAGATCAGAGATCTTGGCAAGATCAGTGCAAAAGGCTTTTTAAAGGAAATGACTGACAGTTTGTCCTGTGAACAAGAAACATTTTCCCCCCTTACAATGACTGTCTTTCAAATCAGCTCAAGATTTCCCATCAAATGCCATTTGGTCTTTTGGTCTTAAATCTCCTATGTCTTTTACTCACCAGAATTAGTAGCAATCTGTAGCAATCTGTGCCCTTTATCATGCCCTCCCATGGCTCAGAGAGAGAGAGAGAGAGAGAGAGAGAGAGAGAGAGAGAGAGAGAGAGAGAGAGAGAGAGAGAGAGAGAGAGAGAATGAATATCCCAATCTTCAATACTGAAAGACAGGCTCTTTTGGAGTTAAGAGAAGCAAGCATCAGCTTAGGAGGCACTGTGGGGAGAGAGCAAACCTTGACTCAGAAACCCCCTTGGGTAATGACTTGTGGTGAGAAAATTCAGGTCCTGACTTGTCAGAACAGCCTTGCTGGTGAGTTGGGAGATAACCCTCTTTATCCCTCTGCTTGCATAATGTGTGGAAATAATTTGCTAACACAGAACAGGAATGCTGCCTCCTCTCAGATGTCCCTTTTATGTGGTGTGTGCTTTCTCTGTTTTTCCACCCCCTTTTTTTTCTATGTTGAGATGACTGACAGCCCCTTCCCAGCTCTCAAAGGCTTCCAGGGCCCCTTCATTGAGTCTGTATATTTTTTATTGAATTAAAAAGTGAGGAGGTGGGAGTAGGGCCAGTTGGGTGGGTTCTGGGAAGGGCAAAAGGGGAGAAGTGTGTTGATAGGTGGTATTTTTTTTACCACCTAATAATGTATTGTATTCAGATGTATGATTGAAACACACTGTCATGGAAAGCAGATAACAACTGGACTCTGTTTCCCATGTTGTATTTCTAACTGATACTAAAGCACGGCATTTTTCTTTTCCTTTTTCTTTTTCTTTAATACCCTGCCTTCTTTTCAGGAGATAAGTACAAATAGCAGGAATCAGGAATCAAGATGGTGTGTGTGGGGTGGCAAACACATAACTCTATCTCAAAAAATGCAAATATATCCAATTACTAACCTAAAGAGAAAAACCCCACTTTTCAAATGCAGGGAAATATTAGCAGAAGGTTTATTTAAGCTAAGCATTGGTGGTAAATTAATCTTCTACCTTTGAAGAAACCAATATGCCTAAAAATATGGTTACAGAAGGCTTTTTCAAGATGAATATTTTGCAAATATCTTTAATATGTTAAGTTAGGAGACAGCTTTACTCACACACACACACACACACACACACACACACACACACACACACACACACCACCCCAGCTCACATCTGACCAAAAAAACTTCACATCAGTTTGCTTATAACAACAGGACTTTATGATACATAACCATGTTCTTCACACTCATTCAGATTGTGAATGTTTAGAAGACAGGTGTTTTGTTTGATAACTTCATGGATGGAGTTTGGGGTTTAGTTTAATCATGAGGGTGTTGAATTGCTTTTGTAAACAGATTAACAAACACCGAGAGTGTAGGAGTAGGAATGTGCCTGACATCGGCAATTGAACCTTACTAATAGCACTTCCTCTGGCAGAAGCATGACGTTTGCTTTAGTTTTTTGTCTTAAATTGCAGCACTGTGGCCACTGAAGTAGGGTTCCTATTAACTTCATCTCTTCACCGAGAGACTACAGGAATCCAGTACCACATGCTGCTCTGTTATCTTAGTACACTGAACAATATAGTGTTAGTGTGCTTGTAAGAATTTTACTTCTAGCAGCAAACCTTTGTGGCAGACATGAGAACTGCAGTGTTCCTCTGCCCCCTAAATACTTGCATGGAATCTATAGTTTTTTTCTTTTCTATTCTTTTTTCTTTTTCAGCATAGCTGTGAGAGAGGACATAATGTTTTGTTCTCTGCTGCTCCACTATTCTCATGACAAAATATCATCCATTTATAATATCGTTAGACCCTATAAATCAAACGAAGAATCTTTGAGAAGAAGGATCAGACATTAGGGATTTTCAGAACAAGTGATGTGTGGCCAGCTAAATTCTTCTGTTCATATTTGTAGGCAAGCAAGTGTCTCCCCCATATACAAGGATTTCACTCATATTCCTTGCTGGGTCAGTGCCTCTGGCTTTTAAGAAGGGCAGAAGGAGAGAGAAGATAAACATAAGGGAGAGTGGTACTTTTAACTAAGGTTTTGTGATTCTTGCAATCTTTTATTCCTCAAATTAATTAATCTTTAAGCTATAAGAATATTGCTGTGACCCCTCTAAGCACATGGCTACACATTTAAAAGGGCTTTAAAAACGGGTAGTACTTTTTTTTTTGTCCTCCCTATTTTTTTTCCCCACGGAGGCTTCTAATCTCATCTTGGGCTCTCTGTAAAGAGTTCAAGGCCACAATTCATGTCTCATCCTGGGCATCGTGATAGATTAACCCTGCCTTTCAGTGTTTTTCCAAGCTGATTAAAGTTCAGCAGTGGTATTGAGGCTTTAAAAAATATTTACAGAGGAGGAAAAAAGTGTTTCCAAAAAACGAATGACATTCTCTCATACTGGTCTTAGCCCCAGTAGATTTTGAGGTTGTGTCAGAATAGTGGGTTAAGGGAAACCCATTTTATACCTATACACAGAGGAGAGGCAGATCCTGACTCTCAGACTTTTGTCTGCATAGTAGGTCCACCTGCCTAACAATAACCCATACATTCTTTACACTACAAAGCTTCTATCACAAAGAAAACATAATTCAAGTGCAAGGTTAAACAGATACACAAGCTCAAACTATTCTCCCATGCTTCCCAGTGTAGAAGAACACCTTACTTTTGCTCCTCCCTCAGAGAGGCAGACATTTGGTGGGACTTAGCGCCAACAACACATTTCTGAGGATGTTTAGGTGATTGGAGGGGCAAACACCACTTGTTATTCCTCCCAGGGTTTCCTAAGCATTGCACACATATCATTGGCAGGCTTTGGGGACACCTATGTTTCCGACTGGAATTAATCAAGTTGTCAGCAAGTTTGATGCCATTCTATCTAGCATGGACAATAGACACACTGGGAATCCCTGGATCATAGACCCTGGTGAAATAAAAATCATCAGATGCTTCCCCTTGGAGAAAATGATGGAAAGACCAGAATAGTTTGTATCTGTTTTGGAGAATGAGTATCAGGATGCTTTTTTATGGTGAAGACAAGAACCCATTGGATTGGTGCTTATGTTAGCTGGGTTGAGTTGGCCATTGATGGATTGTCAAACTCCAGAAATTTAGCTAGGATATGACTATTAAATATATTCTACAAATATACTGAAATGAATTGAGAGATACACCTCTCTGTATCTATATGTATATAAACATTTCCCTTACAGAAGCACACACACACACACACACACACACACACACACACACACACACACACACACACTGTCTTTTATATAAGACTACATAAACCTACACACATACACATACACACAGGACTATATTACACAACTACTCTATACCACTAATTACTCTCCTTCTGTGATCAAGTTGCTATTTGGGGGGATATGATAAAAAGAGACACAGACAGATATGATTGATAGTACTTTCAAATATTGTTCCTAAACTGGTTCAAACTTGGCCACTGGGTATTTTCTAGACCTCTCTTGATACAGCAGAGTGTATGCCTGCTGTCTAGTGGTTAGCGTTAGAAATGACTTTGCATTCTTTTGGGAATATACTTACTTTTAACTTTTTTTCTCTTTTCTTTCGTTTTTTTAAGACATGGTTTCTCTGTATCTTTGGAGCCTGTCCTGGAACTCATTCTGTGGACCAGGCTGGCCTTGAACTCACAGAGATCTGCCTCCTGAGTGCTGGGATTAAAGGTGTACACCACCACCTCTGGGAACTTTAAGTTTTTTGTTTTTTGTTTTTTCTCTCCTGTTTGTATTTGCTTGCATTTTTTTCTGTGAAATTCAGGAGATAAAATCTCATCTTCTGACTGGGCCCATAACCATCTTCTAGATGAATACAATTCCTAAATATCTTAGTGTGTGTGTGTGTGTGTGTGTGTGTGTGTGTGTGTGTGTGTGTGTGTGTGTATAGGTTCTGGCTGATAAATCCTTAATGCTTAAAACAAAGAAGCAAAGGAGATGAAAAGAAAATGATTTATTGACTGTTTTCTTGGCATGGGTGCCTTAACCAGGCTCTTAATATATAATGTGCAGGCAAATTTATCTCTACAAGAGGAACCTGAGGCTTACAGGGGTTGAGAATCTGATACAAAGCACAAAGGGTCTGAGCTAGCGATGAATGCTGGTTTCCACTATGGTGATCTTTTTATTACACAGACTATTTTTCCTTGAACAGTTATTTTCTGCACTCTTATACCCACCGAAGAGCCTGGACTGTACAGAGAGTCTATTTGCCAATATATACTGGTTGAATGTTAAACATTCTTATTGAATGTCATGGGTGTGATGATCTAATACAGAAATTTTGGCTACGACCTTGTTAGGTCTGACCACTGGTAGATGCATAGTGTGGAACCCTGTCAACAGAGGAGATATTCATATGATGTCCAGAGAAGAGATATACAGTAATCACCCAGTCCAATC